TACTTTTAAAAAGAGTAATTATTATGGAAATAATATATGTAAGTGTGAACTTAACATAATGTTTGCAATTATATTAAAATGTATTATAGTTTCAATTTAGTTTAAATACAGTTAGTTGAACTTAAGAGTGTTTTGACTCACTTACAACTTTATATGTAGCTTCATAATTACTTCTGTTGAAATGTGGCTAAATATGTACTGCCGAATGTACTGACAAGAATTTGTGATAAGGAAAATATTTTAATGTAATTTCTATTGAAACTTGTAAGTCATAGACAGAATTGTAATGATAATGTTGCAATTTAGTACATTTAAAATACTTGAAATGTAATATCAAAGTAGTACATTTGAAATCATAACTCAGTACTTTACATGTACTTTAGTTTGTTAGTAAACATATCCAAATAAGTGTACTTCTTTAAAAAGTGATAAAAGATTAACAAAACAATTATATGTGCTTAAGGTAAAATGCTGAATTTAACATTATTACAAAGTACACTTATTAAAAGTGACTTAAGTGTGTTAAGAAATGAAAATGTCATGAAAGTGTCTCTCTTTAAGTATACTTAAGTGATCTTTTATTTCAGTCATATTATTTTATCTTCCATTAACTTTTTTGTTTAACATACTTTAAAATTTGAAGTACACTACAAGTGTACATTCAATACAAAGAAGTGCACTTCTTTTTCACAAGGTTACAAATGGAGGATAAATGATGTCTGAGTATTGTGAGCACAGCCAGATTCACATAGAGTAACAGTGGACATCTCCCTCTCTAAACAAAAGATAAACAGGACTAAAGTTGAACCGTTAACAGTTCAAAAACTGTGAGATATGAACTACAGTACATTTACAGGTGATGAAAGTTATCTTATGAAAAGTTATAAATTAACAGGTGGATTGTATTTCTTGGGGTCATGTCTGTTTAGACAGATAGGCCTAGATATGCACATATCTAAAAGCATATACAGTGGGTACGGAAAGTATTCAGACCCCCTTAAATTTTTCACTCTTTGTTATATTGCAGCCATTTGCTAAAATCATTTAAGTTCATTTTTTTTCCTCATTAATGTACACACAGCACCCCATATTGACAGAAAAACACAGAATTGTTGACATTTTTGCAGATTTATTATTAAGGGGGTCTGAATACTTTCCGTACCCACTGTATATAAGCAAGCATATATACACAGAGTTTTATTGCATGCATATACTGTAAAATGTATAACCATGGTTTGAATATTATTGTATTATTAAGTTGGGCTATAAATGCATCCAGTTAAATAATGTGACAGTCTTTTGTAATGTAAGGCTATTACTTAAAGGGTTAGTTCACCCAAAAATGAAAATTAGCCTGTGTTTTATTCACCCTCAAAGCATCCTAGGTGTATGTGGCTTTCTTCTTTCACTCTCACTTCTGTTGACTGTCGTACGCAGAAGCCGTTCAGGCGGATGATGTAGGACGTAGGTGTCGTGCGCGCACCTCTGAGAAATGCAGGAGCAAAGGAAACAAAGTTTCCTTACTTTAGCAAAGGAAAACCAGTCTCCTCTAGGCTTATATCGAAATCCTCTGACATTTTTCTTTACGAATCCTCGTTTTGTACTTCTAATTCGTGAACGGCGTTTTGTTTTGTCTCCGCGTTCATCACTAATCATGCAACGTCGACGTCCTACGTCATCCGCCAGAACGGCTTCTGCGTACGACAGTCAAAAGAAGTGAGAGGAAAGTGTTTATTACGTTTGAAATATGGATATTTATCTTACAAAAGTGCATGGATTCGCTACAAGAAGCCTTTATTCACCCCCCGGAGCCGTGTGAGGGACGTTTTATTACGGATGAGGGGCCAGGACAATTTTTATAGAACTCCGATTGGATTCGTCTGAAAGAAGAAAGTCACATACACCTAGGATGCTTTGAGGGTGAGCAAAACACAGGCTACTTTTCATTTTTGGGTGAACTAACCCTTTAAGGTTAGAGTTTAAATGCTGATTGATGACACTTTCTCAAAATACATTACATGGAATTAATCTGTTCAAAAACAAAACAAAACAAAACAAGAAGTCAGCCGATAGCCTTGTTAGCGTGCCAACATACAGCGCCGTTGCCAGGGTCGGATTTACGCATAGGCACTCTAGGCACGTGCCTATGCTCGTTCGTCCAGGGGGGCCCAAACACAATGAAGGGATATATAATATTTTTGTTATACTATACTATAACTACTGTTTACAACAGTAAAAGAACCAAAAACCCGAGAAGACATTGAGCAAATAAATATAACAAACAATAGGGTAAAAAAATGACAAAGTATTTCCTTGTCTTACACCTTTTTTATGTTGGCTACAGAAATCACTCTTTCTTTCTCCCGTTCTCTCTCACAGACACACACTCACGCACACACACGGAGACGCGACCAGAAACCAGCGCTGCCCCGCGAATTTATCAATAAAATTGTTTTGCAGCTGAAAAGCTACATGACATTTCTCAGTAGGGAGGTTCTTGAAGCAGTTTAACTTAAAGGGGTCATATGATGTGATTTCAATTTTTCCTTTCTCTTTGGAGTGTTACAAGCTCTTGGTGCATAAAGAAGATCTGTAAAGTTGCAAAGACTAAAGTCTCAAATCCAAAG